AGATGGTGCTGCTAGGGATAGGGCGAGACGGAAGCAGATGAAGCACTGTGATGACCCCACAGAAGATGATGAAGAGGTAGATGATGATTTAGACTGCTGACAACAGCCAGACATTTAATGCATTAACAAACACTTCTCCAGTTATCTCAACAATAATCTCTGTTTCTGTCCCGCATAACACTGTTTAACTTGTGCATCGCACTGGGCTGCTGACCTAAACATACACAGTGACCGAGTATGGAAATAATCATGATAAAAACCCTGAAACTGCAACTGAAAACTCACTGCTGACCACAAAAATAACAACAAGGCATTGCAGCGTCTACTGGATTTCTCTATACAGCATATGGTGTTGGTGGAAAAGAACATGGCTCTTACTAAGCTTTGCTGTAATAAAAATAGAGCTTGGAGAGTGTATTTATTGAGTCGGAGCTGTAGCCTTGCCTATTTTGTTGTGGCCTTGAGAAAGCGAGATTTTATGATGAGGAAAGGCGGGGACTGCTCTTCAATCTTCATGGCAACACAACCTCATTCACCCTCATACATTCTGTGTATCACTACCTCTTTCTTTACTTCAGCCATCTTTCTTTATTACACACACTTTCTTGATCTCTCAGATGCTGCAGCACCTTTCTTATTATTCGGTGACAATTTCCCCCTTAATGTTAGTCTCTCTCTCATTCCCTTTCAACCCACATGTTCTTTTGTCATCTCTAATCTCCCGTTCGCCAATCTCTCTCTTTGCCCCATTTCTCTGTCTCAGTTTCTTCTTGGTTGTCTCTGCACATTCACCTCTCTTCCTCTCTCCCTCTCTCATCCCTCCCCCACAGCACTCTGCTGCCTAGTGTGCACAAGAAGTGGTGATGCTGGTGGTGGTAAAATGGAAAGGGATGGTGAAGGGAAAGGACTAGGAAGCTGAGGCAGCGGTGGTGATAGTGGTGGTGGTGGGGCTCCTCCAGTGTGTAGCGGTTGCCATAGTAACAAGCAGAGCCAACCAGTGGAGACGGTGCTGGTAAAGGTTAGCCATATATGGAATCTGGTGAAGGAGGAAGTGGGATTCAGCAATCCAACCCTCACAGGAAGAAGGAGCGTGGTAAAATAATTATGCTGCTCTAGTTTTGTCCACTAACAAATGTTGCTAAATTAATACCAGGAGATGAAGCAGACGCTGTGATCCTAATTGAGGATAGGCAGATAATTAAGGGATGCACACAGACATGCAGACCCCTGTGTATGCACTCCAATTCACAAACGAGCATATGTGCACCAGAGGGGCTTTACGTGCACATGTGCATAAAATAATGCAAAGAAAATGTGTGAGCTTAATGCTCCGTGCGTGAGTGAGAGGCCGGACGCATACAGACAACTGTGTCTCCAGTCAGGTCACAGTCAGAAAGAGCTAAGCTAAGCAAAACCACAGGAGCGGCACACAGTATAGCTGAATAAAATATGGAGCACACACTCTCTCCTGGCTCAGCCTCAGTCTGTTCTCAACCTGGATCCTCTCCTGGTCTTTTTGTTCCTCTGTTTCCTTTTTGTGCACACACACAAAACACACACCCATCTGTGTCTTTCTCTTTTTAATAGAGGAGAAAAACACCTTATAAGAATCTAAGCAACAACTGCAGAGATAACTACCATCATGATCACTGTGGTTCTCTCCCAAGAAGTATTGCTGTCCGTTTCACTTGTGTGTAAAGGCAATGTGTGTGCTATTGTGAAGCTGTAGGTTTTTGTCTTGTGGATAAGTGTGCTACAGTACAGCAAGCTTCCTCAGTCTGTCTCTTCCACAGACTGTCCATTAGCATCAGCAGTCTGACTCATTGCCACACTGCAGAAGCTGAAGGAACACACCGTGACTGCAAGTGCATGCGCTCACACATACAGCACAAAACAACACACAAACATGAATGAACCCAATGATACGGAAAAATATAAAACAGGCACAGGGTATGAACACCAAATACACAAACACTGCAGTGTTTACGGACAGCAGTGCCTTAAAAATCACAGCATAGTAAATACAAAATTAACTGTTATTAATTGTATGGCTTGAATTTTGGGGACGCTGGTTGAACAAAGCAAATATCTTTTAGATGTCACAGTTTTAGCACAACATTAGCGGTGAAAATAGCTGACAGATAGAACTGAAGTCATCAGTCAGTTAATCTAATTGTCAGTCCGAAGATGCAGATCAGGGTGGAGGTAAAAACACAGGAAGAATTCCTGTTTGGGGGGGGTGGGGGCAGAAAGGGAAGCAGACATCCTACAGGTCCAATTATAGATATCTTAGGTCCGGGTAAACACGGACCATTAGAGCCAAGCCAAAAACATACGCTCCTTAAAAGCAGGGACAAGCCACCACTCAGCAGGAGATGCATCTGTGTGTGTGTGTGTGTGTGTAAGCTGTAGCTCAAGCACCACGCATTTCCTGCATACGTGTGCACAAGTGTGTGTACTCAATTACCCTGTAGAGAAATAGACGGGTTGGAGGGAGTGAGGGAGGAGGAGGGGAGAGCCTGCCGGAGGGAGATGGCAAATTGATCCCTGTCCTGCAGTTTTGGAGTTATCTGGGAAAAAGAACTGGCGCATGTGTTTGTTAGAAGTGCACGTGTGTGTGTGGAGAGGAGTGATTTAAGCCCAGCACAGCAGGGAGTCTGCCATTTCTCTGCACAAATATCAGCAGAATGGAGGAGCTGGTGTGAGCCTAATGGTTATAGATATAAACAATTAGAATTACAAAACAAGCGAGCTGCTGCGCCTGTAGACTATACACTTGTAATCCGGTTTTACCAAGCTGCAGTGGCTTCTTCTGACTACACGTGTTCTCAAAGCTGCTTGTGATTCATTTTTGATTGTAAAAAAAATCTATTTTTTGGCAGATTTGTGAGACTAGCATGAAAAAACGATGAGAGGCTTAGTTTGCTTACACCCAGTCTGACCCCAGTGATATTGAAAACTCAGAATATGTTCCGACAGCTCATAAATGTTGAAAAATTAATCCTTCATTTTTTTAAAAAACAAACAGCATTGCCTTTTTAATGCTTTCCTCTGGCCTTCTACATTTGTTTGCATTAATAGATCAGTCAATCCTGATTTTCTTTTGCACAAAATGCAGAAAATTCACTCATTTTATCTTCTTGGAAATTAAATGTAACTGTTGTCTGTAGTGTTTCACATAGCAAAGCAATTATATGGACTGCTTGTCAAGTAAACCAAGCAATTCTCCAGGAAATTCAAAGCTTTTTTCCACAACTTTCAGACATTTTACAGACGACACATTAATAAAGGTGGTGGAATGAAATGAGAATGGGGAAAAAATGCATTTCCAGGCCTTTGTGTGAATCTACACAGATTTGATTTTATTCCGTGTGTGCTCGTTTTCATGGATGTGAAGTGCCCGTGTGTTTTCTATATAAAATAGAAGAAAGATAGCAATGCTTTGAAGGAGGTGGGGTGTCATCTGGTCAAACTATTTAAAGAAATCAATCATACACACAATCCGAGCAGGCAGACTGAGATAAAAATAAAGAGCTGGATATAAAAATAGTGGCACACAAAAAAGGATGAGGCAGACAGACAGAGACAAATTGATGTTTAAGATATTTATAACAGTCAGACTCACATGGAAATGCACTTGACTCAAACTACTCCTTCACGCACACACGCACACACTTCTTTCAAACACTCACACACTCTCACATGGAGCCATTAGCACACAGATGTGTACACATACAACGCTCACATCTCACACTGGGGTCATGTGGCACATTTGTGTGACATAGATATGACCTTCGGGATAGAAGAGGATAGAGCACACACCTTCAGTGTAAGAAGCAAAAGGCTCAGGCTCCAGAGAAAGGGTAGTGATGTCGGAGCACAGGACCTGGATGGGGCTCAACATCCTGGGGGAGGACTCCAGGGTGGAGAGGGGTGGACAGGATGGGGCGGAGCTCTTCAGGCTATAGCCAGGAGCAGCCCTGCAAGAGGAGCAAGGATGGACGGAGGGGGGGAAGGAAGGGAGGAGGGCAACAGGGAAGCAGAGGGTGAGGAAGGAAGGAAAATAAGAGGGAAAAAGGACCAGGGCAGCAAAGGGGGTTGAAGGCGGGGTTAAGGGTAGGGACTGAGTTACTACATTACCACACTTGGTCATGAGTACTCACCAAAGAAAATCAGCTGGTGGTGTATTCATGATCACAGAATAACATATTGGGTTTGGTGGGAAAAGCTAGCAACACATGAAGGATGAACACAGGAAGCTAATGGGAGAAAGTCTTAAGCATGTATTGTTTATTCACTTTCATTTAGCTTTCCAGGTAATCATTAGTGTGCATGGCCCCGGGAAAGGCTACTCGGTCACATTTTCCCTCGTGACTAATTACTTTAATTACTCAGAACTTGCCTTAGAATAGTCTTTAATGACATATAATGTGGAACATAATCAAATCTCCCCATTACAAGTTACTAAACAGGGCAAACATCCAAAGATATTCAGTGTAACACAGTTTTCATTTTTAGAGATACATGTGGAATTGTTATATGACCATTTAGTGATTTTTCTATTTTCAATTTCTGCTCGAGTGAATAACAATAATTAATAATAGGCACTCTTATATATATAGAGGCATAGGATAATAATGGGGTTATTTAAAAAATGACAAAAATTAGAATTTGTTACTCGATTCATTGAACCAAATGAGATACTTTTGAAGGCAAGGGAAGTTTGTGAACGATGGGGAGTAAGCAATGTATGTAATTCAAGAGAGGAGGGACTGCAAGGAAGAGGGAGTTTAAGCATTCCCTCCCCTGTAGGAGTTACAGGGGAGGGGAATCCCCACTGGAAGATCTACTGACACACATTTACACACATAGACACAACACTTGCAGACACACATATCCACACAAATTCAAACCTGAACTAACAAAAAGATGCGCACACACGAATATAAATGTAAACACAGGAAAAAGAAAAGACAGAAAGATGGAAACACACACACACACATACAGGCACACACACAGGAGACAGCAAAATAAACCCACGAATAAAAATCACAAGTACCATCTCCTTCTGTGTGTCTATACCAAGCTCGCTTTTCCCTCAGACACGCGTACTGTGTTTGAGCAGTCTTTAGAGCACTGTTGGATAATTGTTAGGCAGTTGTGCCACTTCAGCACCCGACAATGCTGTGTGCTGCATTAGAGACCAGACAGGGGAAAAAGGGGCAGGTGGAAATGGGGAGGCGGAAGGGGGATGGGGCGAACATGGACGAAAGGTGGAGGGGGTTGGAGTGGGTTCACAGATTTTTTTTGTTTTGTTTTGTTTTTTTGAGATAGAAGAAATATTTGCTGGTCATCTGGGGAACTCCTGAATGTCCTCTCCGTTAAAGCTCACAATGCGCCGCACGGCCCGTCACACCAACAGTGTTGAGCAGTGTCCACCTTGGTGTGAGCTCATCAGCAATTCAGTCCTGAATAATTCCTGTGTGTGTGGAATAATTAATACTGCCATTATTGGTGGGTGGAGATGATCTGCCAATCACTCTGGCCAAGCATGAAAAGCAGCATGTTTAGCATTGCTGGCTGTTACTATAGCAATAATGGATGGGTGTCGAGGGGTATTAAGGGGTATTAAGGCTAATTTTTCTTTTTCTTTTACCAGTCACTTACTAAAAACCTTTTTCCTGAAATGGATACAATTTACTAATGGAAACACAGTATATGTAAGAAGAAACAGAAAAGCACACCTTCACATACAGACAAAGACATGCACAAATGTAATCTTCAGTGGTGTGTTGAATACACACAAGAGTATTTGCACAATCAACAGGCAGCACTACAGTCTCCCCTGACTACAGCATGTGCTTCTGTGCAAGGGGAAATTATGCCACAGCACACACAGAGGAAGCATAATTCCCTTTCTACAGTGATGGGAGGATCACAAATAAGCTCGCAACACGTTCATGACCCCAAAATGATAATCCGCTGTTCAGGTCTGAGGCGCGTAGTGAACAATGAGCCGAGTGTAAGAAGCAGACAGACGAGGCAGGAAAGCAGACAGGTAAAGCCAGCATGCAGGTAAGATTAGTGGTGGTAATAAGATAAGTAGAACATGGTTATCCACAGTCATAATCCATCTCCTTTATGCTTTATAAAGAAACCAAAGAAATTCAGTGGTTTGTACAGTTTTGTAGGCTGCTGGGTTTGTCAATATACCCCCTGCCTTAGATCATGTATTCAATCTGACACCTGAGCCAATTATATAGAAGAGTGGGGGAGCAAACAGGGAGAACACGCGTGTGACGCTGTTATCATACGAGAGCCGACATGCAATGCAAGTACAAAAACAGTGTGGTGGAATTTTTATGCCTTGTTTTTCTCTGACACACAAACACAGCTGGAGACAAAAGTGAAGACACTCTGGCATGGGCCAGATCAATTCCTCCCTGCAGTGTGACAAAATAGCTGTGTAACACAAAGTAGCATAAACAAAATAATGAATGAAAAGTGCCAGGTGGGAAAAAGGAACTAGTGTGAGAGGAGGGGAAAAGTTGCCTTAGATGATATCATTTTGCGACGAAGAATGTTTTGGTGACGAGGGCAGCTCCTGTCTGAACAATAATTAACACAGAGCTTATAGAAGCTTAGGAAGCTGCCCTGAGCTAGTTTTGTCACGCACTCTGTCTTACTCACACTCCAAAAGTTCAATACATAGATACACACTTGCCTGAAGGAAATACTTCAATACAAAGAACAGACACATACAGCTTCCTGTGTCATCTTCTTACCTTCAGTCACATAGTTGTGGTCGGGGAGGAAGCCGTGGTGGTTGAGAGCTGGGGTGGAGTCAGTGTCTTCGCCCATCAGCGGGGCCTGGGGGAGTGCCCGTCTTGGTGGGGCAGCGTGATGGTGGCAGATTGGTGGCGAAGGGGATGGTGGTGGGGATGCCGTTCAGCACAGTGCCCATACTGCTGCCCGCCTCCTCAGCACAGGGGCGCACAGCTTGTCATCCTATACTTAAGTAAGGCTGAGGGGGAGGGAGTGGGGCAGCCCCAAAAGAGGGATGGATGCGCCAGGGAGTCCACAGAAGTGCTTCTGAGAGCCAGATGCAAACCTGCAGAAAGGGGATCATTTGGAAACAGTTCAAAAACTACCAGTGGTGAGCTTGATTTGTACCTCACAAGAGCACACATTAGTCATGAGGCAAGGAAAATCAGGCGCACTCCGAGTCCCCCCTGCAGTTGCTGCGTCCAGGTGTGGCCGGACCGATTCTGCTCTCTCACAAACACATGCAACATACACAATCGATGCGCACTCAGAAATGGGAAAAGTCCCTGCTTGTTAATGGATGCTCTAACAGAAGAAGAGGAGATGAGGAGGAGGAGAATGGGGGGAGGGGAAAGAGGGATGAGCAGAGTCCCTGATCGTGGCATCTGCAGTGCTGCTGCTGCTTCTGCAGTAAACTCACACGCATGGACACACATATACGGTGGGGATAAACGCAAAGGGACAACCACTCACTTTGGCAGCTTAAAAGCCAGGTACTCCTCAGTGGATCCTCTATGAGTAATGTCTTTTTCCTCCTCACTGGCTAACTGTACCTCTGTCCCACTGGTTTCTCGACTGTTCCAGTATGAGAAGGAAAATCCTTCTGGTCCTGCGTTCTGCTGCAGTCTGTGCTCTGGCGTATGTATGAAAGGCAGAGTGAGAGGTAGAGGAAGGGGGAGGGCAAGAGAGGAGCTTTTCTGCTGTGCTGGTACTGTGTATGATGCATCAGCGAGGGCCCCGCCCACTGTCTAGCACAGCCAATCATCACAGACTAGAGATCTGCTTGACCACTGAATGCAGGTGATTAATAATGATAAAGAAGCTGAGGATAGAGGAGTGGGTGGCAGAACGGAAGTGGTACAGCGTCTAATAAGGTTGTGATTAATGGGAGAGAAAGCAGAGAGAGCAGGAGAGTGTTTCGCCTGACTATGTGCTCAGTATGAACAACAGAAGAGTGACGACTATAGCCTTTACCTGGAGACAAAACTGAAGTAGCAGACAGACTAATACAGTCAGTTAATACACACTAAAAAGCAGGGACAGGCAATAATTTAGTTTGTTTGTTTTAACAAGTTTGAGCTGTGTCTAAAAATAACTTTATCAAGTTACCATTCTACAAAGTGTTCCACATCGTACTATCCTGGCTCTGTCCATCCACATTTTCCCTTAAAAGACTTTTTAAGCTCATAAATGAACATGCGACACATTTCTTATTTATCTATACTAAAAGCAAATATTTCTGGTGTATGGTTTAAAGCTCATTTTCAGTCCAGTCTGCATACTTGACCTTTTTAAAAGTAATGTTTTGGTTTTTACATGTTAATCCACCTAAGAGCCATTCAAGCATAAATTGGACTCAAAGGATGAACACATAAGACATATTCGCAAGGAACCTATTTTAAATTGTATCTTTTTAAAATTGCTACTATTTTTTGACAGCAGCCTGTCATAAAAGCACATATATTGTTCCCATTTCTTTAGTTAAATCTACAAAAAAATAAATAAAATAAATAAATATCAAAGACAACACAGTTTGGCAGGATGAAAATAATAGTTTTGAACCAACAAAGTGATTCCCAATGAGTTATTAGCTGAAAACCTGGCATATTTTGGCACAGTGTGCAGTGTATCCTTAAAGAATTTGAGAGAACAGGACAAAAGAAGGCCTAAAAGATTATCTACAACAAATAACAGCCAGCCAATGCTGTTTATTGTTTATTACCTTTTCAGCAGTATGCCAGAGTCTTGAGGAGAAGACATCACTTCACACCACTATATCCTCATATGATGTTTATTCTACTATAAGCTGCAGACAGTGTAAACAGAGTTGTCTGAGCAAATGTGCTGGACAAATGATGTGACACACTACTAACACAGTAGCCATAGAGCAAAGCACAGTAATGCCCAGTAAGAAAAGTACCAAATAAATAAATAAATATGAAGCATGAATGAAATGCTTCAGATGAGCTGTTCTATAGAGTTGTGGGGATTCATTAAACAGCTGTTTCACTTGCGCTTATCAACCATATTGCCCATCCTTACTCCAGGGGATCAAAAATGACCACACGCTAAAGGAAATAGCACTTCAGTTCACACACCAATGCTCGAGTGGACACACACACACACACACACACACACACACACACACAGACAGTGGAGTTAGCACAGCAGCAGGGAGTGAGGGGCTGCCAGTGACAGTTGGTGTCATCACTGGTACTGGCTGTCTGCCACCAGGATTTAACCTTCCCCCCTTCCCAGTGAACAAGAAGAGCTGTTTATCTGACTTACTCCAAGACTGCCAGCATTGCCCTCCCCCACCCACCACTTACCAATGATGAGCAATGCGCCACACATTGCTGCCATATCTGACCTTCTCTGTGCCCCCTGCCAGCATAAAATATACCACAAACCCCTTTTTTCCCCCATGCATAGGTATAGCTAGCTACCTGTACATATTATAGTGGACTAATGGCATTTTTAGATCATGACTCTGCTAGAGTACCTGAAACTGGGAATTTCCATCCCTTCGGTTTATTCACTGTGTAAAAGGAGACACGTTAGATCCTCTCCCCTTAAAGCCTCCCTACCTTTATTCCAAATTCCTTCTGATTGGCTGTCCCTACAACAGGTTGGCGGGACTACTGTGCTTACACAGACCTCATCCAAAAGTAGGGTAAGTATTAAGCTTCAGTAATACCCTGCCACAGCGCTTATGACAAGACCAAAAGAGGAATTGATGTGAGAAATTATAAATCTGCAAATGAAAAGCATCAAACTGCAAAACTAAGCTTTGACACTACTACTAATCACCTTTATTCTTGTAAATGTGACAAAGTCCTTCTGTTTTCAACCAATGTAAGGTAACTGTTTGTGCCTCAACAGTGCAATTTTCCCTATAATGGTAAAGAGTGCCTTTAAGCATTAAGTAAATTTAAGAATTTATCTAGCTCAAAATTACAAAAGAAGATTCAGGCCTCTGGGGAAAAAAAAGTGGGCATGTCTTTTTTCTTCTTTTCCGGAATTCTGACTTTAATTTCAGAATTCTGACTTTTATCTCAGAAAAGAAGAAAAATCTGACTTCTGAGATTAATTCTGAGGCTTTAATCTCCAAATTCTGATTTTAAAAAAGTCAGTATTCTGACTTTTTCTCTCAGAGTTCTGACTTTAATTTCAGAATTCTGACTTTTTTTCTAATAAAGCGTACACTGGGTGTCAAAGTTCTGACTTTTTTTCTCAGAATTCTGACTTTTATCTCAGGATTCTGAGATTAAAGTCAGAACTTTTAGTAAATTAATGAAAAATAAAAGAACAGGTATAATAGAGCTTAAAACACTTTTTACAGTGTCCTCTTGTTTACTTTTTATGGTTGGAAAAACAAATCATTACAACAGGTGGAAACACGACTAAACACGCACACAGTAATTATCATTATCACCTTACTTACAGCAGTTTTGTTTAGCTGCAGTAAATTTAAAGCCAGCTTTTCCTTGTTTCCATGCTCTGCCTGACCCTGGACCTGGCTGTGTGGCCTTGGGTCTCTCTTCTGTCTGTAGAGACGGTGCCTTTTGTCAAGGCTTGGCTTTGGACCCATCCTGTAACCTTGGTAACAAAAGAGCGTGACCACCCATCATTCCCTCCCTTAATTGGACTCGTTGCCCTACACAGAGAATCTGAGCTGTTTTGTGTCCTCTCACTATCTCTTTCAATAGAAACGGTGGGGACACCCCTGCAGACTCTGTTAATATTATTCAAAACATCCAAGTGGAGGACGCATGAAAAATTATTAGTGCCATTTCTAGTGAGTAAGACAAGGACAAGATATAACATTGTTCTGAGGAAAGACTGAAGTGATCACAACCTGGATATTAGATTATGAGTGGGAGACAACAGAATTAGCTGAAATGAAGAAAACAGTTTAGATCTGATTTGCTGAATCACACATGATGCAATATTCATTGCACAGGACACCCGCTAATAGACTGCTAGACCTCAAGAAGCTAAATATGGATGGGATATATGTGATATGTCTCATATAAGCAGGTTAAATATGCACAAATGCACATTTGTTATTATGATCTTATGTGAAAATCTTCTTACACACGCATGTAGTCCCTTCTAACTGTTTTCTCAGGTACTTTTTGCTGAGGTCTTAGTTTGGATGCATGTTTCCTTAGGAGCAACACGTTTCTCGTGAGGCATGTTTGATCTGGGACAAATGACAGAAATGCTTTGTAGCCCCATATAAAGTGGGACACCTTACTTGCAGAAGCCATCCAATAAACAACAAAACCCCTAATTACAAAGGTTACATCAGAGTAATGTTAATGACCACATTGCTTTTAAAAGTCAGTCTCTGTTCAAGCAAAACACCCAAAATTTTCCCACACAGGTTCATTATTTAGTTTGGTATTTTCATTTAGGGGAATTGCCTGAATATCTAATTTTTGTTTAACTCAAAATTGGTTAGTTATCTGTTAGTATGGAAAGGAAACTATAAAATAGTCCCTGTGTCCATCCTTTCTTAACATTTCCTGTATAGATCAAAAACAACTACATCGCTAAACTCTCTCCTCTCTCCTCCTGTTTTTGCTTTTGCAAACGTGAAACACTTGTATCTAAAATGTGACATTAGAGGAATTAAGACCTATGTATTCGATTAAACTGTGTAGTGTGGTTGTACCTGTGTTAATTCAAGTAAAAACACACTTTTTATACACACAAACTCACAGGTGAACAGACTGTATTTGAATCAGCTACTGATAGAGATAATGACTGAAGAAGGGAGGTGATGGACCTTGATATCCCAACATGATTCAGACCTACACCCAGCCAATATGATAACAATCAGCATCACTCATCAGGAGCACTGGTAGATCCAATCAGAAGCAGCGACGCTTATGTCTGCCTCTGTTGACCTGGTGCTTCTCTTCCTTCCCACCCCCACTTCACCGTGCAGACACAGAGTTGCTTAGCAACCCAAGAGCAGCCTATGGAGAACACACTCAATCGTGCAGACTCTCACGCACACATACACACACACAGGAACTCCAAAAAGGGAAAGATAATGTAGTCCCACTCCACCCCTCCATCACGCTCTGTGACCTCCCCAGCATGTGAAGAGGCTCAGTGAAACCCAGCGCCCGAAGGAGATTCCGTCCACTACCTGTGACCCTCTGAGTCCCCCACCCTGGTTCAGGTTCCATGTAGGCATCATCTTTATCTATGGAAACAATCCCATCAGCCTCTTTGATAAAAAGCTCTTGCTATCAAAAACCAGAACCTCACGTAATATTTCACAATTTCGACTCAGCAGCCATGAAATCAGCGTTTCTAACAGACAAAGCTTTAGCTGATGAAAGGTAAAAGCTCTTCAGCATCTCCCCAGTCTAACACTATTAGCACATTGAGTGAGTGCTTAAACACAGTCCGCAGACGATGGATCAACTCAGTGCCTTGAGCTGGAGACAGCATTGCAATCCCCTAAAGGGGGGGTTTCACTACAGTAATGGCAACCCGCATGAAACCACAGCCCCTGGGGAGTGGTGGGACTGGGTAGATTACGAGCAGCCTTGGGGCAGTGCTAAATCCCTCATGGCTTCAAAACGCGTACACACAGACAGAAACACATTAAAAGAAACTGGCAACACATAAATACAACCATAAGAATAACAAGAAAATGTTTGAAAATGAAAAAGAGAGGAGTACATCTATAAAAATAAACATCCTCCACAGTTGCATTTGACTGATATGTCAATGGGGGGAAATTATTCTTTTCATTTTTCCATCTGCATGACATGTTTGGGGAGGGGGGCGCATTCACTGGGTGTCAGGGGGATCGTTTAAACTCCTGGTGGATTATGGGATGATGATGGAATGACTCTTTGGACCTAAGGCAGGGAGGTGGCTGGAGGTACAGCAGTTTAAAGACAAATAATCTGAAAGATGGTGAGCACATTATGGCCTGACCCCTGCTGAAATATAGAATGGCAACACTATAATCATAACGACACTATATAGTTATTATTCTGTGCCAACTGTGAGAGCAATTAAATTTCTACCCAATCAGATCACTGGGCAAATGGACTATGGAGCTATTAAGACTTGGGCTGATATGGCAGAAAGCACTATAGTCTAGAGCATATCTGCATATATATTTTGCGTTTATGCAAACCTTTTATCGCATTGTTATTAAGCAGTAATGCTGTATAGTCTTTCCAGACTACTCAGCTGTTCATTTGTTGCTTTTACCCACTGGGGCAAAGCTGCTTATACCAGAAAGGGGATTACACATAACTAAATATACAAACAGAAAACACTGCAAAGCCTGTGTGACTGACTGCCTGTTGATGCAAGCACATATACACAACCCTTTATTGAGTCTATGTATAGATTTGGTTTACCATTTGACATTGCAGTCATAAATACAGTACTTAAACACTGCATGCCCCGAAAAGGACCGTAAGAGCTTGCAGCTTTACACAGTAGGGGGGTTCAATTGGCTCACATTAACAGCAGTTCACTCACACAGGCACACTGGCCCTTATCTGACTCACAAATTAAAAATACAAATAAAGTAAAACACAAAACTCCTCATGCTTGCTTTTCTCTTTGTCCTTTATAAGCTCCACTTCAGAATTGGTTGTTCACTTGTTACAAATGTCAGGATTTTTTTTTGTTTCACAACTGTGAGCACAAAACCCAGAGGGAGACACGGACACAGGTGACCTTTTGGGGGATGGGAGGTCACTGAATGTAATCTTTCCATGAGCAAAGCAAGGACTCAGCTGCCTGGGGAATACATATATACACAGAGGTCAGCCAGGCATCACTCAGCTCCTGAGATGAGACACGAACAAATATCCCATCAACCTCCACATAACCTACACACTTGAGGCATTTTTAGGCTTGTGCGTAAGAAGACATGCTTGAGGTTAAAGTTATTTAAGTTTGTGTTATTAGAACTAAATTGTCTTTTTTGCAGCCCTAAGCTACATGAAAGAGGCAGTAACTCAGAGAATATTTCATACCAACTTCGAGTTTCAATGGATTCTGATTTAACTTGAATAATTAAGAGTGAAAAATACTTTTTAACATTTTACATAGAATGAGACATCTGGGTTCTGTATCCACTCACTTCCACAATTAGGAAGTAACTTTTTCAGGAACTATATGGAGAGAAGAAAACACACACGGGGACTTATTATGGTGTTGTTCATAAAAGCATATGCAAATATAGTTTTATGAAAGGCTCAAAATCTTTCAGCACATCTTTTGAAGATATGGACTGGAGTAAAAATAGAATGGCCCCTCTGACAATAATTAAACTGCTGTTTTTGCACACTTTTAAAGCCAAACGGCTCAAGAGAAATTGGGTCTTGAGCACCTAAACCCAGTAACCGAGGTACTCTCATTTAGATTTTGCCTAACAAGCACAGCTTGATAGATGGCACGATGACACAAGTGCGTGCATCATGGAAAAAGATCTGAAATATAGGGCAACACTACCAAAATGTCCAAAGCTGTCCAAAGCTGTTTCTAAAACTCTTTTGTGTGTTGGCACTGCCCCCTAGTGTCTGACAAAGACTTGTGCAGCGAAACTAAAACCAAACTCTGAAGTGAAGTGATTTTTCAGGCTTAGGAGAAATATAAGGAGTTAATGCATGACTATGGTGTTTAATTTCACTTTGCAAAAACAGGATGAAAGGAAAGTACAGTTTTTTAACATCATGATTATGGACTTGTTGAAGGAACACATTTCCATTTTTTTCACAATACATTCAACTTAATGGTTTGAGGAGATAGGCAGTACAGGATAAATGTGAAGAAACAGATGTGCTATCCTACCTCTGCATGCCACATGTCCTAAGCTAATACCAACTAGTCTTTCTTTATTCGCTTTACAAAAAATATTATTATTATTATTATTTTGGAGTTTTGTCACATTAAATAATGAAAAGGTGCTTGGACTCATTTGCCAACTGTCCACATTCAGGGAAGAACATCACTGGAAGATAAAGTCAGCCTGGAGAATCATTATTATTACATTTTTCACATCAGCAGCCAATGTTTCTTATTCTTGGAAAATCACATCTACTCATTTACAATACAGCAAAATAAGAAGCTCTTTCTTTTTGCGGGACCCAAAATTATAAGTCAAAACTGAAAAAAACATTTAGAAACTAACTTTGATTCTGTGGGTCAATAAATGCAGCTTGAACTTTGGATAATTAATTTAACACTTGTCTCAAAACAGAAACAAATAAAAGAAAAATCTGAAGTATTTTAAACTATTTTAAGTGCTCACTAATACAGGCAACCTTCAAAGAAGTTTTTAGGATTTATTGTGCAAATGAAATTCAAAGTGCAGATCCATTTTTTTAATTTAAAAAATCTTTTTAAATGGGATTTGGGACTATGTCAGGCTCCTGCTGGTTATCCATATAGTAGGGATCTCCTTGGTGGACTCTGTGATTGTGCACCCTAAGGTTTCCCCTGTGGGCAAATCTCTTTCCGCACTCTGTGCAGGCAAAGGGCCTCTTCCCCATGTGAACGTCCCGTTGGTGCGCTCTCAGGTTCCCGCTGCGGGCGAAACGTTTACCACACTGAGCACAGCCAAAAGGCCGCTCCCCTGTATGTGTGCGAGTGTGCACAGTGAGCTCAGAGGGAGTGAGGAAGCTCTTTTCACAAAACTGACAGGGATGCAGTCTGACTCCTGTGTGGCGTAAAAGGTGTCTGCGCTGGTGGGAGGGGTACGTAAAACACTTTGTGCAGTATGGGCAGGTGTAAGGTCGGCCGTTCCCTCCACTTGAAGCTGGATTGTGGCTAAGAGCGTTTGTGTGTCGTAAAGTGAGCAGCTGTGTATTAGACTGGGGTCGGAGAGGGTCTCTGTTTCCAAAATTTGTGACTCGCCGGGTGTTATTCACGGAGGCTCTCCCACCCCTCTCGTCTCTTGGTCTCCATAGTGACTCACCAGGTGGGGCTTGGGATTGATCCTGCTGGGCACCCCTCTCTGCATTCTGGTTGGAGTTCTGGTTCTCAGGCTCCTGGTCCAGAAATGGGAAAGAGTTGTCATCGTCTTCGTTACTGGTCTCATCTGAGCCAAAACCAGGCCTGAAGCAGGGTGCATCTGTGCCAGAGCTGCTGCTAGCTGCACCAGTGCAGCTGGTTCTGTCTGCCTGCAGGTTCTCCAGACTGGACACCCCACCTCGGGTGGTGTCCAACCCAGGTAACCACTCACCTGGTTGAGCCAGGCTAGGGTCAGGTCTTGGGGAGCAGCGTCCACTCTGGGAGATGGAGAGAAATGGGGCAGAGGCTTGATCCTGAAGGGGTCTGTGGTCTGCACCACGACTGCTCTGATCCCAGTGAGATACTGCAAAGAAATATGGAAGAAAAAAAACACCCACAATTTAGCTACTTTCAGCCTTCTCACTATTATTCTCGCTTTGATTACTTATTCTCATAGCTTCTCTTGTTTTAGCAATAGATTGTGACTTAGTTACATTTTGTCTTAGCTTGTGTAGCAGTCAGGGCATCAATCTGCATCTCGTCCCCAGCTGCGAGGCTTCTCTCTGGCGCTTGGGCTGTGAAAGACCCCAGGCCAGGCCGTGACCCAGCACGCTGAATTGAAAAAGTAAAATGTAGCTATAAGACTTAGAAAAGGCAGGGAAAGTTTAGCAGGTGAATGTTAAGAAGTCATAAAGACTTAATTGCTGCAGTTTAATAAAACAGGCAACTTCTGAATGACACAGAGGCAGGGGAGGGTCTGACCTCGTGCTTTACTGAAGCTCCATCCTGACCTTTGACCTCCTCCTTCAGTTTACCAAGGCTCTGGCTGACTCCTTCTACTGGGTCAGAATGAGAAGAGACATCTTTTCCCATATTCAGTCCTGTGCGAGAGAACTGTAATTTGTAACCATCTCTGGCGCTAATTCAGTAGGTAATAGGTCTACATAATGATGAACACAACAGGTTCAATGGAGCTGATAACGGGATGAGCAGGTATAGATATGATGATGATGACCTGACGATGACCAAATTGAGTTGTTCATGAACCAGCTTGAATCAGACAAAGTCAGCTGTAATACCTGATCCTGTCAGGGTCTGTTGCCTCAAGCTGCCCTCTCTGTCTCCTGAGGACATCTCTCCTTCCTCGCTCCCTCCACCCTTTGCCTTCTGCCTCCTCTCCACTTTCTCCAGCTTACACCGGAGGATGGAGAGCTCCTCGGTTTTCTGCGCCAGCTCCGCCTGCTGTTCACACAGGCTGCTCTCAAAGATCTTGGCTATCTCGCACACAGCTGCTGCCAGGAGTGAGTCCATGACGGTGGCCAGCTGAGCATGGAAAGCGCTCCTCACAGACTCCATTGTCCTTTGTTTTGTGGATGCTGTTTTAATGATAACAGCTGTTTGCCACTGCTGTTTTCTTCTGTGGTTTGCCTCCAGAGGGAGTAGACGGACGACGTGGCTACCGCTATACACTCCTCTGCCGTGGCATCTATGAACTGCCATGAGATGCTGCCATACTAAATAGCCAATTTACAGCATTACGCCATCAGACATTTATAACAGCAGCTAGCATTTATAACTCGATATCTACAATGTGTGCTGCTTTATAGTAATGTTATAATAATCACAAAAACTCCTCTATGAAACTATGGTTTATCACTTAAGCTACTGCTAGTGTTCGTGTTACACACGATGATGGCAAGCAATATGCTGTAATGCAAAAAGCCAGTTTGTATGGAAGAAGAGTATAAACATAGTTAACTTCAGTCTAGCGTTGAGAAACTGGCTGTGACCAGGCAAGGCGTTCAGTGCCGTTACACCGAGCTAGCTAACGTTACCTCCGGTTAACGTGTAAACACGGGAGCCAATCAAGCGTAGCCTTTACTATTCAGCCCTGAAGCTCACAGCACAACTGAAGGAAGAAACGACCAAAAGCACAGGACCGTAATGGCCGACAGTAGTCGGTGGGAAAATATCTTCACTGAGCATTAAAACAAAACTCAATGTAGTTTTTCTTGAGCTAGCAGGTTGGTACCTGCGACGTGATCACCGCCGCAAGTCTCGCGATAAGAAGGCTAAACTGTTCAGAGCACATTCATTTGTATTCATCGAAAATCCCTATTGCTGCAATTTGAATCTTCTCTAAATTCATATTAAATACATAAATGACAAAAGGTATAAAATAGGGGTTTTATTTAAAAGTGACAACAATTCAATCTAGCAATTACAGTCCGGTTACAAAGAAAAAGTATAACAGGCTTGTAAGATCACCTATTACATATAGGTTAAAAAGAAAAACCCACACGACAAAAATAAAAACACACATTTGGTTTGGAGCAGATAAAAAAATAAAACACATTCATATTGTTCTGACTGTTTCAGAAATCAATATTTAATGCACACATAAACACATTCTGAAATTTGTAAACTTGGACAAAAAAAAAAAAAAAACACTGAACAAACGTACAAAATATATTTAAAACTGTATAAAAAATTGCAAAGGTATCAAAACCACAGAACAATGAAATGTTTTCAGATATGAAACAAGTTGAACCTTTAGAATAACTGATTTTTTCCAGTAAATACAGTCAACATGAAAAGCTCAAGCACTCAAGCACATCAGGCAATTTGGGATGATGTGAAAGGTCAAGTCATGCGATTTCTCAAATTCCTGTTGACCACGACAGGACAAGCTAAACACAAAACAAAGAGACAGCAAGAATGGCATTTACCTCAAGTTATAAACAAGAACAAGAGGGTAAGCCTTTAAAACAGAGTTTAGCAAGCAGGGATCTATGTATCTTTCAGTATCCATTACCACAACCACTGCAGTCACTATTATGGTCAAAGTGCAGGTCTGCTTTAAGGCAATGTTGGTTTTACAGAACTTTTGAAGTTCAGAACTATCCCAATTTATGAGGTATTTAATATATTTAAAACAAACCCAAACAAACCCAAAAACATCTTTAGAAGTATTTAGACCGAAATTCCTGAGGGTTAGTATACATCTGCACTAGCTTGAACCATTGCTTAAACCCCAAAATGTATTTTCATGATATTAGTGAAAAAAAGTTTTAGGTGGATCAAAAAACTGTAACTCTTAGTTTAGTGACATTTCTTCATACCAATTTGTCGATAGCAGACGTCACCTGATTGTGGATTATTATGTTTCATGTATTGTTTTAAAATACACCACAGATGAAAGACAATCAAGTAATTGTATTAAACAAAAACAAACAAACAAACAAACAAACAGTACAGTTTAACTTAAAGCCACCAGAGACAAAATCCAGTGTTTCAATGTCCACAGTCAGGTAATGACACCTTTACTCAAAGTAATTGATGTTATAATACTGATGTTAGCGCGCGATATGGTACTAGAGGAGTCCTTTGGTTTAGTCCTTTAGACGAGCTCTAATTTTTACATTTAGACACATGCTTGTCATAAACTTCTTGTGAGGGTAATTGTTTCCCACACTTCTTGCACTGCATAGCTGCCGGTGGACAGCGGCACTTCTTTTTGTGCACGTACAGCTGCGCATTAGTACGAAACATTGCAGGACACCTGTCGCATTTTAGGGGTTTCTCTCCTGTGTGGATGCGATAGTGTTCAATCAAGATTATTTTGCTCCTCAACACCTTGTGACAGAATAAGCACATGAAGCCACGATTGTGCCGCACGCCCATTGTTTGCCATCTGGAGCTTTTCTTTGACTGACGCCCTTCTTTGTTTTGCACAATTTCCTCACTTGTGTGTTTGCGGGGAGAAACTGAACCCCCTGTGTTCTCTTCGATCTCTTCTAAAGGTTTGGTCCAATATAGGTCTCCATTTATTTCCGTGTTTTGGTTGTTGTGTCTTTTCACCATGTGCAATCTGAGTGACTGAGCAATGCGGAACGTCTTTTGACAAATGCTGCATGAATACGGCTTTTCACCGGTATGAATCCGCATGTGCTCTATTAACTTGAACCGAAAATCAAATGACTTGATGCAGTGCGTGCAGGGGTACCTTCCCGCGTTTTTATTTCCCTCCTTGTTGTTGTTGCTGCTTGAGGAATGTGTGCTCTCTTCACTGATGGCCTGTTTTTTGCTTGCCGTACGGTTTTCTCTTTTATCAGCTGGTTTGCCTTCAGAGCTGGCTGCCAACAATTTCTTGAGTTTTGCACAATTACGTTTATGATGTCTCAGTGTGCTCGGAAATGGGAAGATTTTCTTGCAGCCTCGACACGTCTTGTGTGATCGTACGTGCACATCTCGGCCAAATTCTGTATCGAAGACTTTTTTGCAAATCTTGCAGGAGTAAGCATTTTTGCTGCCACTTTCCATTGTTTCATGTTCTTTGGACGTGGACTCAGTTGATGCAGTTTTTCTTTGCTCTCTTCTGCTCTTCACTTCATTTTCTTGCTTTTCTCCTGTTAATTTTCTCTTCCTTCGTCTATGATGTCCCAAAGCAATTAGGTCCGGATATTCCTCTTTGATGTCATGGAGTAACAGTTTCACATCATTTTTAATGTTCTGAAACCGATGATCATGTGCTGGAAATCTTTTGTCCTTACCTGTATTTTTGCTCTCTTTTAAATTTGAAACTGTGAAGAAAAACATGGAAAAAATATTTAACATAACATGAATGTTATATGCCAAACTGTGCATCTGCATTTTGAAATAAACTAATGCAAACATTTAACTGATATCACAAAGCTGAGCACTGCATAAGCAAATATGAATGGGAAAATGGTGATATTTCTTACACTTTCTTATTCCTAGATCAGCCAGATTGCAGACTGGTAATACACATCCATATGAAGAGCTGCAGCTTAAATTTTATAAGCTATACTTAATAGGATACACAGAAACTTTACTTGGGAAAGCTTTGTGATTTATTAGTACACACTCAAGTATATTTGGAGACTTATTTTAGCATTTTTTTTAAGAAAGCAGCTTAAAGTATCTTTTATTTTAGCATACAATTGGTTCTATTTAGTGTAAATAACAATCCCATTGTTTTACAAGCATTAATACAGGATCCTAAAACATGGAACCTTCTTGTACTTTTTGATCTTAAATCAAAAGCACATGCAAGTAAACCTAAATTTGAATTCTGTTTTTATATAAATTTTTTTCTCTCAGACCATTTAACTCCACAAGGCTGCATCTGAGACAGTAAAATCTGAAACTCTCTTATGCACATCTACATATCTAATTAATGAATAACAATTTGAATCCATCAAATTCTAATCAGTCTTAATGACAGAGCTGTGATACCCAGCTAACTTACAGACAACATTTTTGCCTATTTTCCATCCTTACTTCAAATAGGTTGAACTTTATAACAACACAGCAGCTCTTTTTAAGTCTTAGTGACCAAACATCTTTAAACCCACGCAAACTCAAATTGCTGCTTTGTCTTTAGGAGATTTGTTACTTTAGCTTGTATTATGTACTTAACATCTTCACCTTTTCTCTGTAAAATCAGTTGCCCTGATGTCAGTAGACTGGTTCGCATTTCTTACTGGTCACATTCTGTCAACACCCACCCTTTCATCTGAACACGCTGATAGCTAGATTGTGCCAACTTCTTTAGTTGACGAGCGCCTTCATGTGACTGCTTAGCTTGATTGCCCAGGTTGGGCACATTGGATTTTCTTTGTACTGCAGACCCCAGTTCACTGTTGTGACACGTCTCTATATCATCTCTGCTCTTGAGAGTTGCACCAAGTTGTAGGGCCACTCCAACCAGATCCAACAATAGATGGGGAACCGGTTCACATGCTGCTACCCTGAGCTCAGTGAGGGTGCAGATCAGAAAAATAATAGTATTTCAAGCATGGGGGAGTTCCAGTTCAACCTCAGGATGACAGATTCACTGAAGAGACAGCTAATCATGCTGCTCCATTAATTGGCACAAGTAATTAGGCAAAATTAAATATCTGCTGAGTAGAAAACTATAAACAGATCTGATGATTCACTGAAACTTTTGCTCACAACACCCACCTACAATATTATCACATGGAAAACAGAGGCGCGCTGTCACTTCTGGCATGAAATAGTAAATGAAAGAATTAAGACTCACTTCTACTGGATCTCCTGGCACCCTTTCTTCTCTGGTTCAAGTCAATGTCACAGCGAACTGCCTAAAATATAGATATACATATAGATGATAATCTCCAAAAACTAACAGGGCAATTTACAAGTAAACGAAATGCTCATAGAGCTGTGTTTGCATAAAGAGACAAACATCATATGAAGAATTTGTTTCTTTTAGTTTTCAGCTAAAGTAAATAGATGTAACAGAACAGAAGAGTGCAGTAAACATTTTAATTTTTTATTAAGTCATTAGGAGCCACAACATCTTAGGTGAACTTGCACAATTTCAGCATGCATTTGTAAATTTCGGTTTGATTTAAAGGTTTAGCTATTGTTTATATTGGTTTCATTTTTAAAAATGTGTTTTCACCACTTAGTGAAAGTAATAATAATGCACCAGTGTGCATTGCATGCCACCTCATATGATTATTAAATACAATTAGTCAATCAATAACATTTGATAACCCAACAAATTTGTAAATTCTCATCTTACAAACTATGTAGCTGTATACACATCATTGCACTCCTAAATTTCAGTTTTCTGTGAAATGTTGTAAGTGAGCCTCAAGTCGTCACAAAACTAAGACTTTTTTTTTCCTCTTCTGAAAACATAAAAGTCAAGTTGCAGATTTCTCTGGTGGTTAAGGATGCTACATCCACAGTTCTACCTTCAACTACATACCTCATCCTTGGGGATTGTAATATGACACAGAGGTATGGACAGCGGCCGTAGTCGTACACTGGGACACACAACTTCATCTGGTTTGGTCACAGTCTCGTAGCCCAGAGGAGAACACCAGTCATCGGGTACTGCACAAACCAATGCACGAAAATTGCAAACATGCTTAAAGTTAAGCCAGGCAACTGTTTTACTGAGTAACAATAATCTTGCGACAGTCTACCAAGATTAAATCAAATAATCAATTATGATCAACTCTGCACACGCACTCCACCACTGCGCTGGAGGTTATAAACAGTAACACCTATTTGTTCATAAATGTCATTTAGTCATAATGTAGTCAAAGAAGTAACTACATTTAAAATTATACCTTCAAAATCAATCTCAGGGACCTCAGAAGACTGTCCTGGAGTTTCTGTGACAACTTCAACCTCTGTTTGCGACGGATTCGTCTGGACTTTATTCGTCTTTACCTGTCTTCCTCTTGCATGCTCAAGTTCTTTCAGCTTTAGCTCTGCTGTCTGTAGCTTTATTTTAAGTTGGGCGACCTCTTGTCCTTTCTGTGCCAGCTCCATTTGATTGTCATACAATGTGTTTTCAAAAATCTTCATTATCTCAAACACGGCTCTCCTCGAAATAGATTCCATAGCTGTGGTCAGCTGGGCCTTGAACCCTCTTGTTAGAATGTCAGACATCTTTGAAAGCGACTTGCAGATATCCTAGTATCATAAATTTGTGTGTGGTGGTGGCTTCACTCCTAAACACAGGGATTAGAGATGAAGTTAGGTATTCTTACAAGCTTTACATTAATTATGACAGCAATTTAAAGTGTATATTTGCTGATAAAGTCTCCTCTCTGCCCCATAACTTTCCACCTAATGTTATGGCGCTAAATACATAAAAGAGTATTTAGGTGGAAATGATAAGTAGGTCTGGACTTAGAACAGGACTTACAAACAGCAAATATACACGTTTTATTCCCATATTCCCATCTGGTAGAGCAACTATCATTCATAACCTGATTTAGTTAAAAAATACTTTTTTTAATATCACTGGTGGATGTATTTTTAGGTTGTTTATTTTATTCATGTTTACATTTATTCCATCAATCTGTATGGAAACCGTCACATGTTGCAACAGAAAGGTTTAAACTGCATTTTTTTAAGCATGCAAGTTTAGTTACCTGGTAAGACAAAAGTAGTTCACTCTCCCGTATTTCCTTAAGGAAAGAAAACTGAACAAAAACAGCAGTAACAACCTAACCCAGACGGTTAACTACATTTGATCACCATTCATAAACAGCTATTCGTAAGCCACTTCATTTTTACTATAAGCCATGGTGATAGATTAAAACCCCGGTTCAAAATTAACGTCGAACAGACGAGTAATCACTATTATAACTTGCATGCGTCATTTTATCTTAAATATAACCACTTCAGAGAGGCTACTGTTAACACATGGCGGGTTATTTCCTTATCTATCCAAATACCTACAGTGCGGCACAGTGAAACTCCTTCGAGGCTTGACTTTCCGAACTTAGCCTTCAACCCAGAAATTTGCTAGACTAGAGCTAAAGAAGGAACGCGATTATGGCGCCTAGATACCAAAATTGCGTCTTAAATTGGTTTTGCGTTAGCTAATGTACATAAACCTAACATATTCAGCCGCCATTTCGCTCAAGAGACGAAGAAGGAAACGGGTACGTCACTGCTACGTCGGTTTAAAGTAGAAAAAAAAAACAAAGTAATCATGGATTTATTAAAACGCTCAATATTTTTGAAGCAAGTGAAAATTAAATACATAAATATACAGTTAATAATAGACAGATATTTTCCGTTCGCAATATTTATATTTGTTCGTCATCTTTGGTATCAAACGTAGCGGCTACCATGGCAACCACCTAATACAGCACGAGCCGGTCTATTCGTCTGCTACATACAACACTAACCTGCTTCTTTTTTTTTACCTGCATACGAGAGAAGCTGTTTTTCTATACCTGAACTGAATTGAACCAATTAGGAACAGCAAAGACACTGAAAAACACAAGGCCACAGCTTAACCTGTAATTTCCTGACTGAACTTTTCCCGCCGCGCAGTGATATGACGTTTCCTCCCGTCACGAATTTCCGGTAGGAGTTCGTGACATTTATTATTTGTACATTTATTTATTTTTAATAGTTTTGTGTTTCGTATCCATTTCAAAAAGTGTTTTGACTAATATTTGGCTTTTAATTTTAACCTAGCATTCCGCGCTTTTGACAGTTTTTAAGAGGCGATATATAAACTGAATTATTATTATTAATATTCTTATTATTATTATGAGAATGCAAAGCATCAAGCTGTGTGGAGATATTTTAACCATGCTTGAAGCATTCACAGATAAGCCCCAAAATAACCGCTAGACAAAGTTAAATACAATCCAAAACCTGGGAAAATTAAACCGTTTCATGAATGCCTGATCCCCAAATTAATGATTTATTTTCTCTTTCTGCAATATTCAGTTTGAAATACAGAAAAGGAAGCAGAATGTGCAGGTTTACAGTGTCATCACTGACGAAATATTTACTTCACAAACTCTTTGTACAACTGAGTATTGTTGATGACAAAGTCTATCCATTTATGACCACAGTATACCCATCTTCTGATGTCTGCTTCCAGCAGGATTATGTGCCATGTCACAATCATCTCAAACTAGTTTCTTGATTGTGACAGTTAGTTCACTAACAGTGACAGTTAGAGATTCTCGTCATGAATGCAAATCTCACAAATATGTACCGTGTGATGATACGTCAACATGGGCCAAAATCTCTGATGTTTCTGGCACAGTGTTGAATTTATGCTACGGAAAATTAAAGCTAATTTTGCCCAGCCAAAATGTTGCATAGATTTTTGTAGAGCTACAGCAGCCTGAACAATCTACACTTGTATGCACAGCCTGTCATGCTTGGGTACATGGATATATATAGTTAATGGCTTGGCTCCTATGGCCTGATGATGAACACTTCAAAGTGAGTTTTGTATGAATCCGTGTATTTCAATAATACTTAATATGTATCCTGACAATATACCTGATACTTGACCAGGCACAATGACAAAGACAACTTGCTTAGCTCATTAATGGACAACATTTTCAGAGCATTAACACTCAGTAGCACTTCGTTTACAGTGATAGTTTCAAATGGGATAAACAACAATTAACAGATGGCTTGTCTTTCACTATCATGCAAATGTAAATATTTCCCCTGTGCCGTCCACATAGTGTTCCAGTCAAAGTAAGATTCCATCACAGCTCCCTGACTGCTCTAACACATACCTGTCAGGATCCTTTTTCATTGAAAACAAAGGAAAACAGAAAATCATTTATGGTTTATAGGATTTGCTTTATTGCATTTAAATGGGAAAGTTATAGTGCAATGCTAAAGAGTCTGAATAAGTGCTTTTAAGGTAGTCAGTATTTCTACAAGTGGATCACCAATTGTCTTCAACTCATCATTTAGTCAGTTGTAAGTTCCTGTAGGAAAATTCTGGAATGATCTTTTTTTTTGACTTCCATTTCAGCCAAAAGTTGTGCTGTTCCAGGCCACATTGGCTGCTTCCATGTCCATAAAGTTAATGTACATCCTGAAATACACAAGAGAGAAGGAAAAATAGGTCAATGAGAGTAGACACTGACAGCCAGACGGGGGTGGGGATTGCTTCTGTAACCATGTTACTTTCACTCATCAAATTATTAAAAATGTGCTGGTTAAAGTGTGTTTTTGGTACCTTTCAGGAGAGATGCCCAGGTGTTTGTTGAGCAGTCCACACAGCAGTTTAGAGTATTGTCTGTTGGCAGCACCACTGATCTTGCCAATGCTGTAGAGGAAGCAGAGTGCGCAGGGGTCTCCCTTCCCTCCAAACATCATCATTTGGTCAGGGTTGATGTGCACAGATACGTACTGGTGTGTACAGGACAGAAGCACAAAACGGTGCAAACAAATTTTAAAACAATTAACCAGTGAAGGTTGTGGATTTTTGAAAAGTTACCAATATCTTCATTTATTTTCCGTTTCTGTACACAAGTAGAGAATCTCTATAATATATTTTAACATTGTAGCCTATGTAGCACTTAATTAATTACAGTCTAATAAAGAAACCATAGAATCGTCTGATTATAATTCAATAACATGATGACTCATGTTATTGAATTATGTTTATTATATTTATATATATATTTATTTTTATTTTATTCTCATCATTGATGAGAATAAAATGTCTGTCTCCTTTAGTGTTGACTATTTATGAGTAGGTTACTTAATTAAGTATTAATGTGACGTAATGAAGCGCCATCCAGATATTCTTATGGCCAGGCTTGCATTTGAAGCGGGTGAGTGATCCAACTCCACCGATCAATGATCTCCCAGCGCTGGCAGTCTGCACTGTCCGCATAATTACACACGACAGAGCCAGCCTAGTTTACCGAGTGGAGCTCTATATAATATGCTTTCATCAGAGAAGTTAAATCTAAACATGCGGAATTAAAGGGGACAACCACTGATTGATAGTTATGACGTACAATCGCGTGAGGGTAGGTGGAAGAATGAGCGCGTGCCGGCCTACCTGTGCAGGTTTTCCCATAGCTTTGGCCAGCTCCTCTGTAGCCTCGGACAGGAGAGCTGCCGGTACATCACCTCTGGCAACATTGGTGTTCACTACAAACATCGGCATTATTGCAACGATTCTCTCCCTCAAGGTTCAGCCGCTGGTATTTTTCGCCTTCCTGCTTCTTCTTCTTCTTCTTCTAGTTGTAGGGTTGGCAACTAGCTTGTAGACTCATTACCGCCACCTACCAGACTTAAGTGTTTCACAATTACGAAAGTCGCTAATGGCCCTGCATTTTAGCAACACATATTTAAACAGCTTCGGCCTCTTACAACTCACTATGGGCCTTTTCCTTTGCCACCTCTCTCTTTGAGATTTAATTCAATTTTATTTACATAGCGCCATATTATAACAGTTGCCTTATGGCACTTTATATTGTACGGTATAGAGAAAACAGAGACACCCCCAACAATCATATGAACCGCTTTGAGCAAATACTTTGGAGACAGTGGGAAGGAAAATCTCCCTTTTAACAGGAAGAATTCTCCGACAAAACCCGGCTCAGTAAGGGGGAAGGAGGAATGGGGTGGGAGGAGGAAGACAAGACGAAGACACGATGTGGAAGAGAGCCAGAAAAACTAGTTCATGCATTTATTATTTCTCGACTGGACTATTGTAATACATTATTATCAGGATGTCCTTAAAAGAAAAAGGTGAAAATCTATGCTATGCCTTCTAATGATATTGCCCAAGGGTAGAGTTGGATGTTCGGAGGACTGGAGGAGCCAGGGATCGAACCACCAACCTTCCAATCAGTAGGTAACCTGCTCTACCTCTTGAGTTACAGCCATCTGGCTGCAGTTTAAAGACTTTTTTGTCTCGGTCTTGGTCTCCTCCCGACTTTGTCTTGGTCTTGACTCGGTCTTGACTCTGTCTTGGTCTTGTCTTGGTGTTGTCTTGGTCTCGATACCCTCAGGTCTTGGTATTGTCTTGGTCTTGGTTTAGGTGGTCTTGACTACAAGTCTACCTAAGGGAAGCATGTGTGATGCAATTGGAATTGCTCCTAGCACCCTAGAACCCTGTGGAACTCCATAATTAAACTTACTGTGTGAAGAGGACTCCCCATTTACATGAACAAACTGGAGTCTATTAGATATATATGATTGAAATCACTGCCGCGCAGTACCTATAATACCTACAGCAAGCTCTAATCGCTATAATAAAATATATGATCACTGCTGCACTGAGGTCTAGTAGGACAAGAACAGATTTGTCCACTGTCAGAGGCCACAAGCAGATCATTTGTAACCTTCATTAAAACTGTTCCTGTACTGTGATGAACTCTGAAACCTGACTGAAACTCTTCAAATGAACCAAATAGGCTATATGCCTTGTCTCCCAGTTCTTCTAAATCTTTGTGACTATCCCACTTTTTCCTTGCTAACCTTTTCCTTTGAATACTTTCCTGTATTTCCTCATTCCACCACCAAGCCTCTTTATCCTCTTTTCTCTGTCCAGAGGATAGATCAAACGCCTTCTTCGACGTTTCCCTCAGCACTATAGCTGTACTTTTATAGTCATCTTAAGTGTCTTAACGCTTCCTTAATACTCAGAGCCTGGCTCAACTTTTTCCTGAACTCTGTGCAACAGTCTTCCTTTTTCCGCTCCCACCAGTTAATCCATGGCTCTGCCTTCACTTGTATCCAAAGCCATTTTGCAGACTACTATTGAATGGTGTCTAGCTACATTCTCCCCTGCCACCACCTTACAGTCTCCTGATTTAATTGAGATTGCACCTTTTGGATGTGCTTAGCTTCCTCCAATCTTATACATCAGCTAATGTTCCTTGCTCTTCTTAAAGGAAGTATTCACCACAGGCATTTCCATCCTTTTCAGAAAAACCCCCACTAGCATCTGTCCTTTTGCATTTCTCTTCTTATCACCATACCTACCCCAACCCTCCTCATCACCTCTGCTTCCGCTAAAGTCTGCTCTCTCCATCCTGTGGAACACTTTCTAATGCTTCATCGAACTTACTCCTTCTCCTCTGAAATTTTGCACCATCTTTCCAGCAGGGGGGAATCGTAGTTATTTTAAGGGTTCTTTCCTGCAGTTTCAGGCTCGTAGGCAGCTTAAGAAATTTTATGTCTATATCTCAGGTTTTCATAAAGAAATAATCTAATCAAACTGACCTACTTAAGTATTTACTTTCAAGAATATTGCTCCATGAAATCTAGAAGAATGTATCACTTGCATGTCTACAAACACAGAATTCCACTTATTTGCTCTATGTTAAAATTTGTCGATGGGTTTTCTTCTGTATGTGTCTTAGATTCGGTCCTTTTGTGTGGCACTTCATTACTGTCATGTTCTGATTTTAGTCACATCAGACACCAGTGAAATTCTCAAAAAAATGGGCACCCTTATCCTTCTCCACAGATCTGCCAGTATCGATTTAAAAATATCTTGCATGTCTCCTCTTTCCACATCGATAAAACTCAAGTACTAAATGAACGCTTTATTATTTCTTTACCTGAGCTGCAGTCAGTCAATTTCTATTTTCATTGTCTTAAGTGTCTTAAGTGTCCACATTGTGACTGAAGGCCATAACAAAGCTGTATGAAAATAGCCAGTTGTCACACGTTCCCATGCTTCTTGCCACTCGATCCCCTCCTAACACTTGACTTCTTTCTTCCTTCTCATTTCCAGGGTATCTTTAAGGTTGGTTTTGATGAGTCTTTGTCTCCATGACCTCTGAACTTCAACAAGTAATGT